GAGGCGCCCAGGAGGCATCTAGAACAGATGCCCGAGCCGCCTCAGCTGCTCTCCACATGGAGGAGCAGCGGCTCTACTCCGAGCTCCTCCCATGTGACTGAGCTCCTCACCCTGTCTCTAAGGGAGTGCCCAGCGGAAACTCCGCAGTGTGGCTGGTCAAGAACCATGGTCTTGGATTTGGAGGAGCTGATCTTATTCCCAGCTGCTTCACAAGCTTTTTTTTTTTTTTTTTTTTTTTTTCTAATTTAATGCTCACATAATACACATGAAGCCCTTGAGTCATGTTGTTACCTCCTCAAAACATGTTCATGGTGTCACGAAGTGGTAACAGCTCCTTTTTACCTTTTGCTGAACCAAGACTAAACCAGGACTAAACCAGGTCTAAACCAGGACTAAACCTAAATGAGGACTAAACGGACTAAACCAAGTCTAAATGAGGACTAAACCAGGTCTAAACCAGGACTAAACCAGGACTAAACCAGTCTAAATGAGGACTAAACCAGGACTAAACCAGGACTAAACCAAGTCTAAATGAGGACTAAACCAAGTCTAAATGAGGACTAAACCAGGACTAACCAGGTCTAAACCAGGATAAACCAAGTCTAAATGAGGACTAAACCAAGTCTAAATGAGGTCTAAACCAGGTCTAAACCAAGTCTAAACAGGATAAACAAGTCTAAACCAGGACTAAACCAAGTCTAAATGAGGACTAAACCAGGACTAAACCAAGTCTAAATGAGGACTAAACCAGGACTAAACCAAGTCTAAATGAGGACTAAACCAAGTCTAAATGAGGACTAAACCAGGACTAAACCAGGTCTAAACCAGGACTAAACCAGATCTAAACCAGGACTAAACAAACACTCGTATCAATCACAGACTCCTATTTAAATCCATTTTGTATATATATATTTTTTTTGCGTTTTCATCTTTCTCCGTTGCGTCGTAAACCCATATTGAATCACTTTCTCTCGGTCGCACATTAAAAACGGGGGCTACCGTGTACAAGTGGTGCAGTCATGGAGTTTGACCTGGATCAGGCCGGTGCAGCTGGCCTTCATCACGGCCCACCTGGGACTATTTGAATCTGCTCCACTTTTTCCATCGCTTCTCTTCAAATCCCCCCCTTTTTTTTTTTTGACAAGTCACCGAGGAACGCGAGAAGAGAAAGAGAGGGGAGGGAGGTCTTGTCAGGAGGGCCTCTGATATCCACTTTGATTTGGATGTGAAAACGAGGTGAGGGTGTTTGTTCTGGCGCCGCGCCCGGTCTTATGCCATGAAGCCCCCCCCACCCCTCCCCTTTAAAAAGAATATTTCTACACGTCTCGTCTGGTTAACGCTCTCGGGCGAGTTACTTCAAAACGTGTTATTTATGACTTTTTGTCGTCATTTCAAAGTAATTTGTTACATCACAATATTACTGTTACCGACTATTGCAGCACTTTAAGATACTCAAAAAAATAAACGCCGCTGATCGTCAAATAACAACCACTGAGCAAAGACGTCGAACTTTTGTACCGAATATGGACTGAACCAGGACTAAACCAGGACTGAATCAAAATTAAACCATGTCTAAACCAGGACTGAACCAGGACTAAACCAGGACTGAATCAAAATTAAACCAGGACTAAATCAAGTCTAAACCAGGACTAAACCAGGACGAAACGAAATGTAAACCAGGTCTAAACCAGGACTAAACCAGAACTGAATCAGGACTAAACCAAGTCTAAACCAGGTCTAAACAAAGTTTAAACCAGGACTGAACCAGGACTAAACCAGGACCAAACTAGGACTGAACCAGGACTAAACAAAATCTAAACCAGGTCTAAACTAGGACTAAACCAGAACTGAATCAGAATTAAACCAGAACTGAATCAGGACTAAACCAGGTCTAAACCAGGATTAAACCAGGACTAAACAAAATCTAAACCAGGTCTAAACCAGGACTAAACCAGAACTGAATCAGAATTAAACCAGAACTGAATCAGGACTAAACTAGGTCTAAATCAGGTCTAAACCAGAACTAAACCAGGACTAAACCAGGTCTAAACGAGCACTAAACCAGGACTAAGACAGGACTAAACCAGGTCTAAACCAGGACTGAAACCAGGACTAAACCAGGACTAAATGAAATCTAAACCAGGACTAAACCAGGACTAAACCAGAACTGAATCAGAATTAAACCAGAACTGAATCGGGACTAAACCAAGACTAAACCAGGAAATCTAAACCAGAACTAAACCAGGACTAAACCAGAACTGAATCAGGACTAAACCAAATCTAAACCAGGTCTAAACTGGGTTTAAACCAGGACTAAAAAAGGACTAAAACAGGTCTAAACCAGGACTAAACCAAGTCTAAACCAGGTCTAAAACAGAATTAAACCAGGACTAAATCAAGTCTAAACCACGTCTAAACCAGGACTAATCTTGGACTAGGACTTGGAATCTAGGACCGCCCCTGAGAGAACCCCGAGCCCGTGGATCAGGGCGTCCGCAAAGCGCGATCGGGCATCAGCTGCTCTTCGCCCCGTGGAGCGTGGAGTCCTGCGTCGGTCCTTTCGCCCGCGGTCACCCGACGGTCTACGTGGGCGCACCTCTGTTCCCGTCCCGACACTCGGACCCGTAACTTTGGCATTTCACCGCTGCCGATATCGCGGCGATTTTAGCGAATTTATATGAAGAAAAACGAAAAACCCACCACTTCAATCCAGGTTAAAAAAGTATTGTGACGCACGTTACTTTTACGACATTTGTACCAAGTAAAATATTACCATTTTTTTCGCTGCAGTGCCTTAAATTACTGCATTACAGCAAAAAGCACCACATTTACAGTCATTCATTACTTTTATAACTCGTTCCTCCCGACACTGGTGGTTAATATGAATTATGTGGCGCAATCTGCTATTTTTGAGTCGTTTTTAATTACAGAGATCAGCCCTCATCTCAAATAATTGGGGGAAAAAACACAACTTGAAGCGTGGAATACATTTTTTAAATAATGATTGCTCGGATGTCTTTGAACGTCACACGGACTGTCCTATTTTAATAATTCAGAGCGGAGGAATCAGCGCTGATTATGGTTATTTTTAGAAGTGCTTTTCAAAAAATGCATTCCACATGACAAGATGCTTTTTAATTTACTTTTTTCTTAATACTCAGATGAGATTTTTTATATTAAAGGAACAGTACGTAACCTGTGTTCTTATCAAAACAGTTTTACAGTCACAAGTGCAGATAAAGGACACGTACAAGGTTTTCTCATTCTCAGATTACGGACAGTCCAGGTCAGTCCGTGTATCATTCGTTCATTTGTTTTCAAAATAAAACCAAAAATAAGGAAATGAGAAAGAAAAACAAACTATTTTCTTCATTATTTGTCTCCAAAACCAAAATGAAAAAACAGAAAATGGTTTGTTTTTTTCCGTTTTCGATTTTGTGTTTAAATGAATAATGGAAAAAATGGATAACAGCAGTTTCTCGTTTCCGTGACTTAAAACTGCGATGCCGGACTTTTGCGCCGCATACGGACTGAACCAGGACTAAACCAGGTCTAAACCAGGTCTAAACCAGGTCTAAACCAGGTCTAAACCAGGTCTAAACCAGGTCTAAACCAGTACTGAGTGACAGGACAGACCAGAGTCGCGCCCACGTAGACTGTCGGGTAATCAGGACTGAGACCAGACCGGGACCAGGCCAGAACCAGACCAGGACTGAGACCGGGACTGAGACCAGGACTGCAACCGAATTAGTGCTGGTTTATACCTGTTTTAGGCCTGTTTTAGTCCTGGTTTAGTCTTGGTTCAGTCCTGGTTTAGACCTGGTTTAGACCTGGTTTAGACCTGTTTTAGTCCTGTTTTAGTCCCTAGAGAACTTAGAACTAAACCAGGTCTAAACCAATACTGACTGTCGGGTAATCAGGACTGAGACCAGACCGGGATCAGGCCAGGACCAGATCAGGACTGACTAAGAGTGGGACTGAGACCAGGACTGCAACTGAATTAGTCCTGGTTTAGACCTGTTTTAGTCCTGTTTTAGTCCTGGTTCAGTCCTTGTTTAGACCTGTTTTAGTCCTGGTTCAGTCCTGGTTTAGTCCTGGTTTAGTCCTGATTTAGTCCTGGATTAGTCCTAGTTTAGTCCTGGTTTAGACCTTGTTTAGTTCTGGTTTAGTCCTGGTTTAGTCCTGGATTAGTCCTGGTTTAGTCCTAGTTTAGTCCTGGTTTAGACCTAGTTTAGACCTGTTTTAGTCCTGTTTTAGTCCTGGTTCAGTCCTTGTTTAGACCTGTTTTAGTCCTGGTTCAGTCCTGGTTTAGTCCTGGTTTAGACCTGTTTTAGTCCTGGTTTAGTCCTGATTTAGTCCTGGATTAGTCCTAGTTTAGTCCTGGTTTAGACCTTGTTTAGTCCTGGTTTAGTCCTGGTTTAGTCCTGGTTAGTCCTGTTTAGTCCTGTTTAGTCCTGTTTTAGTGGTTTAGTCCTGTTTAGTTTTTAGTCCTGGTTTAGTGTTTAGTCCTGGTTTTAGTCCTGGTTTAGTCAGTGGTTTAGTGTCCTGGTTTAGTTTTGTTTTAGTCCTGGTTCAGTCCTTGTTTAGACCTGTTTTAGTCCTGGTTCAGTCCTGGTTTAGTCCTGGTTTAGTCCTTGTTTAGACCTGTTTTAGTCCTGGTTCAGTCCTGTTTAGACCTGTTTAGACCTGTTTTAGTCTGGGTTCAGTCCTGGTTCAGTCCGTATGAGGTGCAAAAGTTTAAGTCATGTAAACAGGAAACATTTTTCATTTTAACACAAAAATCAAAAACTGAAAAAACAAATCATTATCTGTTTTGTCATTTTGGTTTTGGAGACAAATAATGAAGAAAATTGTTGTTGTTTCATGTTCTTATTTTTGGTTTTATTTTGAAAAACAAATGAACGAACGACACACAGATTTGGTAAAGTGACGTGTGGTGCTGGGGCAGAGTGAGGAGGGGGTAGTTGGGGTATTTGGGGTATTTGGGGCAGTGGAGTGACCTGTATGGTGACGGGGCAGGAGGCGCTGAGAGCAGGGCTGCCCCGGTCTGTGGCTGTGGCGGTCAGGCTGTACTCGGAGCGGTCGCTGTGGAGCAGGGGGGAGGAGGACCGCAGCTCCCCGTGGACGGGTCCAGGGAGAAACGCTCGGCTCGAGGACCTGCGCACAAGAGAAAACATCAGGAACGCACTGATTTCACTTTTTTTTATTTAAATACCATAGAGCACAGGTGTCAAACATAAGGCCCGGGGGCCAGATCCGGCCCCCCAGGACCTTTAATGTGGCCCTTGGGTGATTTTCTACTAAAATGTTTTAATTATATTTTATAACAAATCAGAAAATAGCGCAATCAAGCAGTGCAGAGGCTGAAAACAGGATTTATTTCTTTTAAACAAAAATAAAACGAGACAAAACTGATCCTGAATGTGTCATGTCGCTGTTATTTATCTCCCAACTACAGGAAAAAGTAAAAATTAAAACACTATGAGCCAACTACGACCTGAAAATATTATATGTCACAGGATAACGACAGAACCCATATTTGGAACGTAAATTAAACATAAATTAAAATTATAGTATGTTTCCAATCAAAATGTATGTAAAGTGTGTGTCTATTCTTATCTGTTTTTATGCATGTTTAGATTTTTATTTTTTATTTTTATATGGACAGGTGTTGAAAAAAAAAAAAAAAAAGTATATATATCTGATCCAGTTCAATTTTCAGTATCAGTATCTCCTGCATCACACCTGCCCTCACCTGTCTCGCCCCTCCTGCCACTCACCTCACTTCCCCCCTCACCTGTGATTTTCTACTAAAATGTTTTAATTATATTTTCTATTAAAATATTGTTAATTTTCTGTGGTGTTTATCACAGCAGCGTCTCTGTACGTGGCCCCTCCCACCAGAGCAGCACAAATGAAGACTTGTCTCTTTCCAAACGCTCTTAAAGGACGATCGTTTTGACTGTTGACCGTGACACCCTCATCAACAAAATGTCCAAAATGAGAAAAGTGGAGCCGAGTGCAGCATTTTACAAGAAAAATTTACTTATTCCTATTTGCAAACAAGTTCATGTTAAAACATTGTGTTGAAATTGAATTTTGAGTGAGTCATGAGTTTTCTGATCCGGCCCCTTTGGGATCAAAGTAGGTTGGATACGGCCCCCGGACCAAAATGAGTTTGACACCCCTGCCATATAGAGTTAAAGGTCTTATATTACGCAAAATTAACTTTAAATCACGTTAGAATACTGTTACCTCCTCAAAAACAGACCTGGACTTGTGTTACTTCAAAACTGTAACATGTTATTTATGACTTTTTACTGTCATTTCTAAGTAATTTGTTACATTACAATATTAATGTGTTTAAAATGTAAAACATGACACGACTGTTGTGTTTCTTTTAAGTGACTCAACAAAATAAATGTCGTTGATCGTCAAATAACAATCAGCGAGTGAAGATGCCGAACTTTTGCGCCGTGTATGGACTGAACCAGGACTAAACCAGAACTGAACCAGGACTAAACCAGGACTGAACCAAATCTAAACCAGAACTGAACCAGGACTAAACCAGAAACTGAACCAGAGCTGAACCAGGACTAAACCAGGACTAAACCAAAACTGAAAGAGCTGAACCAGGACTAAACCAGGACTAAACTAGAGCTGAACCAGGACTGAACCAGGACTAAACCAGGACTAAACTAGAGCTGAACCAGGACTGAACCAGGACTAAAACAGGACTGAACTTGGACTAAACCAGGACTAAACCAAATCTAAACCAGAACTGAACCAGGAAAAAACAGGTCTAAACCAGGACTAAAGCAGGACTAAAGCAGGACTAAACCAAACCAGGACTGAACCAGGACTAAACCAAATCTAAACCAGAACTGAACCAGGACAAAACCAGGACTGAACCAAGACTGAACCAAGACTGAACCAGGACTGAACCAGAGCTGAACCAGGACTAAACCAGGACTAAACCAAATCTAAACCAGAACTGAACCAGGACAAAACCAGGTCTAAACCAGGACTAAAGCAGGACTAAATCAGGACTGAACTAAACCAGGATCTAAACCAGGACTCTAAATCAGGACTAAACCAGGACTAAACCAGACTACTAAACAGGACTAAAAGCAGGACTAAACCAAATCTAAACCAGACTGAACCAGGTCTAAACCAGGTCTAAAACAGGACTAAATCAGAACTAAATCAGGTCTAAACCAGGTCTAAACCAGGTCTAAATCAGGTCTAAACCAGGACTAAAGCAGGACTAAAGCAGGACTAAAGCAGGACTAAACGAAATCTAAACCAGAACTGAACCAGGTCTAAACCAGGTCTAAAACAGGACTAAATCAGAACTAAATCAGGTCTAAACCAGGTCTAAACCAGGTCTAAATCAGGTGTAAACCAGGACTAAACAGGACTAATCTTGGATTAGGACTTTGAATCTGGGACCGCCCCTGAGAGCACCCGAACCCGTGGAGCAGGGCGTCCGCAAAGCGCGATCGGGCATCAGCTGTGCTTCGCCTTATGGAGCGTGCAGTTCTGTGTCGGTCCTTTCGCCTGCGGTCACCCGACGGTCTACGTGGGCGCACCTCCAGGCCCGTCCCGACATTCAGAATGATGTCGTTTCCCCGCTGCTGATATTGCACTGATTTTAGCTCATTTGTATGAAGAAAAACGAAAAACTCACCACTTTAAAGGTCTTATATTACGCAAAATTAACTTTAAATCCCGTTAGAATACTGTTACCTCCTCAAAAACAGACCTGGAGTTGCGTTTTGTTTCATTCACACATGATTCTAGTGAAGTTGTGGTTTGTTTTGTGAAGAACTCAACCTAAATATGCAGGATTTGTGCGTTAAACATTCGTGAATCAAACAAAACACAACTATGGAAATGTTTTGATGAGGAAACAACATTATAACAAATCAGAAAATAGCGCAATCAAGCAGTGCAGAGGCTGAACAACAGGATTTATTTCTTTTAAACAAAAATAAAACGAGACAAAATTGATCCTGAATGTGTCATGTCGCTGTTATTTATCTCCCAACTACAGGAAAAAGTAAAAATTAAAACACTATGAGCCAACTACGACCTGAAAATATTTATATGTCCAACCAGGATAACGACAGAACCCATATTTGGAACGTAAATTAAACATAAATTAAAATTATAGTATGTTTCCAATCAAAATGTATGTAAAGTGTGTGTCTATTCTTATCTGTTTTTATGCATGTTTAGATTTTTATTTTTTATTTTTATATGGACAGGTGTTGAAAAAAAAATAAAAAAAGAATATATATCTGATCCAGTTCAATTTTCAGTATCAGTATCTCCTGCATCACACCTGCCCTCACCTGTCTCGCCCCTGCCTCTCACCTGCCACTCACCTCCTGCCCTTTACCTGCCACTCACCTCCTGCCCTTTACCTGCCTCTCAATTGCCCTTACTTACCTCTCACTTCCCCCTCACCTGTCACTCACCTGCCTCTCACCTGCCACTCATCTACCCCTTCACCCGGATCCTTCACCTGCCTCTCACCTGCTCTTCACCTGCTCTTCACCTGCTCTTCACCTGCTCTTCACCTGCCCCTCACCTTAATCTCACCTGCTCCTCACCTTCTTCCCACCTTCTTCTCTCTTTCCTCTCACCTGCTCCTCATCTTCCTCTCACCTCCTCCTCACCTTCCTCTCACCTTTTTCTCACCTTCTTCTCATCTTCTTCTCACCTGCTCCTTCACCTTCTTCTCACCTTCTTCTCACTTTCCTCTCACCTGCTCCTCAACTTCCTCTCACGTTCTTCTCATGTTCTTCTCACGTTCTTCTCACCTTCCTCTCACCTGCTCCTCATCTTCCTCTCACCTGCTCCTCATCTTCCTCTCACCTTCTTCTCACCTTCCTCTTTCCTTCCTCTCACCTGCCTCTCATCTGCTCCTTTCACCTTCCTCTCACCTTCCTCTTACCTGCTTCTCACCTGATTCAACCTTCCTCTCACCTTCTTCTCACCTGTTCTTCACCTGCTCTTCACCTCTCACCTGCCCTTCACCTCTTCCTCACCTTCCTCTCACCTGCTCTCACCTGATCTTCACCTGCTCTTCACCTGCTCCTCACCTGCTCTTCACCTGCCTTCCCTCACCTTCTTCACCTGCTCTCACCTTCTTCCACCTTCTTCTCACTTCCTCTCACCTGCTCTTCACCTGCCTCTCACCTTCTTCTCACCTTAATCTCACCTGCTCCTCACTTTCTTCCACCTTCCTCTCTCTTTCCTCTCACCTGCCTCTCATCTGCTCCTTTCACCTTCCTCTCACCTTCCTCTTACCTGCTTCTCACCTGATTCAACCGTCTTCTCACCTTCCCTCACCTGCCTCTCATCTGCTCCTCATCTGCTCCTTTCACCTTCTTCTCACCTTCTTCTCATCTTCTTCTCTCCTGCCTCTCACCTGCTCCTGACCTTCCTCTCACGTTCTTCTCACATTCTTCTCACCTTCCTCTCTCTTTCCTCTCACCTGCTCCTCATCTTCCTCTCACCTGCTCCTCACCTTCCTCTCACCTTCTTCTCACCTTCTTCTCACCTTCCTCTCACCTTCTTCTCATCTTCTTCTCACCTTCCTCTCACCTTCATCTCACCTTCCCTCACCTGCCTCTCATCTGCTCCTTTCACCTTCTTCTCACCTTCTTCTCACCTTCTTCTCATCTTCTTCTCACCTTCTTCTCATCTTCTTCTCACCTTCCTCTCACCTTCATCTCACCTTCCCTCACCTGCCTCTCATCTGCTCCTTTCACCTTCTTCTCACCTTCTTCTCACCTTCTTCTCACTTTCTTCTCATCTTCTTCTCTCCTGCCTCTCACCTGCTCCTGACCTTCCTCTCACGTTCTTCTCACATTCTTCTCACCTTCCTCTCTCTTTCCTCTCACCTGCTCCTCACCTTCCTCTCACCTGCCTCTCATCTGCTCCTCATCTGCTCCTTTCACCTTCCTCTCACCTTCCTCTCACCTTCATCTCACCTTCCCTCACCTGCCTCTCATCTGCTCCTCATCTGCTCCTTTCACCTTCTTCTCACTTTCCTCTCACCTTCATCTCACCTTTCCCCATCACCTGGCTCAACCCGTCTCATACCTGCCTGTCATTCTTCTCTCATCTTCACCACCCACTCACATCTCTGCAGACCATTTTTAAAAAATCCTCCTCTCTTCCTCTCCTCCTCAGTGGCATCATCTCTTCTTCTTCTTCTTCTTCTTCTTCTTCTCTCCTCGCTCTGCTCCACCAGCGTCTATTCCCCGGGGGGACTGAGATTCCAGCTCACACTCGCGTCATTCATCTCCCTCGAAAAGCTGCTGAGGTCTGAGCGCCAAGAATACGACTCGTTCTCTCTTCCAGTCTGTCCAGATTCAATTGTATCCCACAGTGTAACAGAACTCTCCCAGTATCTCTTACGTGATTAAAAGTTGTGGAACTCTTCCCACGGTGAGTAAGTCTACAAGTAACAAAAGCTTTACATTCACAGTATGAAATGATGAATGAACAGTTGTGTTTCTCGCAGAGCTCCTCCAGAAATAATTTAGTTTGTCTCATTTTTGCATCTGACCTTTGATACCAGATTGTGTGCTTTATTTATTTTCTCATCTGTGTTATTATGTTGTGAATGAATGAAACAAAACTCAACTCCAGGTTTGTTTATGATGAGGAAACAACATTATAACTTAAATCAGAAAATAATATCCATTTTGTGTAATACTGTACAGGACTTTTACAGTGTTTTTCGGACTATAAGTCGCACTATTTGTCATAGTTTGGGTGTTTCCTGTGACTTATACTTCAGTGCGACTTATATATTAACATTTTCTCTGACAGCTGCTCTAGTGTTGTGTGTCAGTATCTGCTGCTCCTGTTCCTCCTGTACCACTGTCACTTCACTGTACTGCGCATGTCTCCTGCAGAAAGAGCCTCTGTCCTGTCTGTATCATGTCAGTCGATCGCAACATTACTTCTGCACCACTGAAAACGTTAAATGTAAACAAACTTATAAAGACAAATGAGAAGACTGAACACAAATGTCCCCAAAAAGAAAATCAGATTTTACAGATTACAAGCTGCAAGTAGTGAAATCTGCAGCTGAAAACGGTAATCGAGCAGCAGAAAGAAACTTTGGAGTGAGAGAGAAACTTGTGACACTGGGCGGGTGCAAAATGCAACTTTCCTGGAAGTCACTGGATGGATCGACAAAGCCTGGACTTCAGTGACACTGAAATCATCCTGTCAGGATTCAGAAAGGCCAGAATAATTCTAACTGGAACTGATGCTGACAACAACTACACAGAAGAGGAAGCGGCGCTCTGTTTACCTCCGGAGGTCGCGGAGTTCCTCAGAAGTGACACCGACGATGAAGAATTCAATGGATTTAGTGATTTGGAGTGAGATGGAGAGTTTGGTAAACTTGTTCTGTTCTGTTGTTTATATTATAATTATCTGAAGAACTGTTCATATGTGACGTTAACAGTCTGTTGTTCTTTCTTCTATTGTTTTTACTATAACTCGCCTTTCAAGATTTAGAATTTATTTATTTGGAGGATAAGCCCCTTGAGATGTCTTGCCATTTCATTTTCGAGGGGGGTCCTCATAAATAGTCTGAGTCAGAGAGCGAACCAGCCAAAGCAGCAAACTGCATCTGTAGTGGCTACACAAATCGAGATTATTATTACTTATTACTATTATTGTGGCTACAGGACTTTGTGATGCAATGGCTCTTTATACTGTATTTCTGTATAATAAGATGCTTTTATAACCATGAAATAGTTATTGAGGAGTGGATTGTTTCAGACGGAGCACTATTGAATACAACAAAAGATGAAATGTCGGTTCCTGGTCTCTGATTTTATAAAGTAAATTAAAAACTGTAAGTGTGATAATCTGGTGCGACTTATATATGTTTTTTCCTTCTTCATTATGCATTTTTTGGCTGGTGCGACTTATACCCCAGAGCGACTTATAGTCCAAAAAATAAGGTGATGTTTTTTGGCTACTCTACCTGCCTCTGATGTTTCCAATACACAAAACATTTATTAATCAGCCATAAATCAAGTAAAACAGGGAAATGTATATTATGCAAGAATAAAAAGCTTTTAGGTGTATTAATATATAACAAATGGAGTCTTTGCTTCATCAAAACTATTCAGGCATGTTGCAATCCATTTTAATGCTACATATTGCCTTGACAATATGACCTCAAATGCTCTACGGAAACCCTAAAATGTGCCGCACTGAGGCTTTTCTGTGCTACTTTGGACATGAGACTGAGAGCTCTGAAAAGGAACTCAAGTCATAACCTTCTGGTTGAGTGGTGAGAGTGATTCAGATGTTTGGATGTTTTTTTTTTTTTTTTCCTTTACCTGACAGAGAGTAGAAGACCGTTCCATTTTCTCCTTCGTCGGGGTCTTTGGCCTGGAGCGTGCCCAGTAGAGCTCCTGACGCCTGGCCTTCTGTCACCTGCCAAACACACACCAAATTCATAAATTAGGACACATTCTGCCATAGACTGTGTAAAGAAGTGCACTAAGTGAGTGCGGCGTCACCCATAGCATTCAGCTCCAGTCAAATGAAGCTCATTGAAACTAGAGGTGTCCAATTATCGCGTTAGTTGCGATTAATTAATTACAGTCATATTTAGCGCATTATGTTTTTTAACCGCCTTAATCTCATTTTTAATTTCTAACTTTACTGTTTTTGTATGCGAGTTGCCTTATTATAAAATCAGTTTTTATGTGTTGTTAGGACAGTCTGCTCGTTCCTGCAAAGAATTGTAATTTTCATTCCCGTTCTCGCCACATTTGCGATAAACCTGCACACGTCTGATCTCTGAAAACATCGCGACACAGACACAGAACAGACTCACCTTCAGCATCAACATCCATCTGTCACAGAAAGAACATCTATATTCCACTGAGTCGTGTCCTTGAGTCCGACAGAAGCTGAACCACATCAGCACACAAGAGCGTTTCTTTTATTTTATTTTCTTGGTTTAGTTTATGCAAATTAGCCAAGTGTTTTTTAGTTTTGTTTCTGTGAGACTTGCGCAAATCTGCATTAAACACATTATAATGTCAAACGGGCTGATGTGGCTCTAGAGTGGTGATGGTTTATATGTTGTTAAGTTGAGTTTATTTATGCAGATTAGTAATAGTAATAATGATGATACTTCTATAAAAAACATTAATGATAGTATGAAAATAATGTAATAATGAATTCAAATGAAAATACCTCAAGTTGAAGGTTTTTCTCAGTATTTTTTAGGTGAGATTAAAAATTAGGTTAATTAGATTAATTAATTACAGATCATAATTAATTAATCTTTCAATTTTTTTAATCACATGACAGCACTAATTGAAACTGCGGGTGAAAGTAGAATTCCATGTTTGTAATTCCGACCGCGAGTATTACAGCCCAACCCAAGAGCCAAGACGTGAGTGAAACTTCTGAAGGTAACGTTGCTTCCATGAGCAAAACTGTCAATCAAAACGCTGTCGGGAGCAAACTCAGGGAAAGAACGTGCCTGATTTGTCTGATGTTAATGTTCATATCTGGATTTATGGACAAAATTGTGAAATAAAATAATTTAGAATGGGTTAATATGAACATTTTAAGACCAAAATGATGAGGCTCACAACAGTTTCTATACAGTCTGCAGTCTGCATTATGGAACTTTTTGTAGAAAGGTCGCCTCTTGTCTCTATGAAGACGCTGATGTTGTTGCTTCATCTAGAATCTTCCACAGAATACCAGGAAACGTATCTATATCTTACCGTGATGTGTTTTTCAAGATTTCTGAGCTATTAAACATACATAACTGAATAAATGAAACATATAGAAGTTTAATGTCCATATTGTGGAACGTTCCATGAAAAACAATGGTCAGGCCTTCTCTGCTGGCTTAAAAGACTTATGTTAATTATATTATTATTAAAGGGACAATCTGGAATTTTGGACATAGGCCAAGCTTTCTATCAGGAAGTACAACTCACTCCTGCTGCTCACACATAAATCCTTCAAATGCAATGTTGGTTTTACTTCTAAAATTATTCTATCAACACAGACATTCACATCGACAGTCTGGTGTAATAATAGATTTTCTTCAGGTGTTTTGTGGAGTGGGTGAGACTGTTTTTAGTGGCAGGATAAATATGACCATTGACATGCACTAGTCTAGCACCAGTGACCTCTGCAAACACAAGGACTGGATGGAATATTTTAAAAAAGTGTCTCCACACGTCTCCAACACTCTGGCTCAATAGGAAATGAGGCTCTATGTCCAAACTTCTGAACTGTCCCTTTAAATAATTCCAAATGGTCTGTCCACTTCCTTTCAGAGCTTTTTTGATGGTTGTGCTGCTTCCAGACATGTATTTTCATATTAAAGCATTTGACCAATCACATTTCAGCCGTCATTTGTTGCCAGGCAGAGTCAAAGTCAAAGAAGTCTGAGGCCCTCGAACACTAAATAAATATCGATGAAACTGTTGTCAGATCTTGAGTTGGTGTCTCCAGGGTCTTCTAGCAGGCGTATGACCTCGCCAGATTCAGACCCGTCGATTGGACAGTCAGAGAGCAAACCAGCCAAAGTAGGAAACTGCATCTGTAGCAGGCTGCGCAAATCGAAATTATTATTACTTAGGAGTGTCAAATTATCGCGTTAATTGCGATTAATTAATTACAGTCATATTTAGCGCGTTATGTTTTTTAATCGCGTTAATCTCATTTTTAATCTCTAACTTTACTGTTTCTGTATGTGAGTTGCTTTATTATAAAACCTGTTTTTATGTGTTGTTGGGACAACAACACACACATCATGGTAATTCCACTCACAAAACACAGTAAGAGCAAAACGTCAGTGCGGCGTCATTGACGTGTCAAACAGTGCACAGTTAAAAACACATGTGTCAACTTAGTGACACTGCCTACAACTGAGGGGCACACGCACACAAACACACACACACACACACACACACACACACAACACACACACACAAACACACACCTTCATCATCGTCATTAACCTGAGAACGCGTGGACCACGTTTCCTTCCGTAGTTACTGCGTGGACACCGACGTGCTCCCGTGAGCCGCGTGTGGATCGTGTTTTCTCGCGTACGCTGCGTAAACCGCGCTTCCTCCTGTGAGCCTCTAAACCAGAACTAACACCAAGACTAAAACCAGGACTAATCCAGTCCAGGACTAAACCAGGACTAAACCAGTCCAGGACTAAACCAGGACTAAAACCAGGACTAAACCAGGACTAAACCAGGACTAAACCAGTAACCACTAAACAGGAAACTAAACCAGGATTAAACCATTCCAGGACTAAAACTAGGACTAAAACAAGGACTAAAACCAGTGATCTCATATATAAAGCATTTCTCTATCAATAATATTTTTAATATGGTTAAGGAAAGACTGGACTTTTTATTGTCTTTAAGTAGACAAAAGTTATTATGTTCAGATTTCCTCGTCTTTGCTACTTTACAGCAAACAGTTTCTTATTCATGGAGACTTGGGCTCAACAGCCAAATTGGAAGAGATTTGTTAAACAATAAATGACTTTATAAAGTCACTTTTTTTAAATCTATATCAGTCTTTTGATCTGCCACAATAATGTAATAATGAATTTAAATGAAAATACCTCAAATTGAAGGCTTTTCTCAGCAATTTTTAGGTGAGATTAAAATGAGATTAATCAGATTAATTAATTACAGATCATAATTAATTAATCATCTCAATTTTTTTAATCGCATGACAGCACTATTATTACTATTATTATTGTGGCTACAGGAGTTATCTATCTGCGATGAAACGGCTTTTTATACTGTATTTCTGTTTAATAAGATGCTTTTATAACCATAAAATAGTTATTGAGGAGTGGATTATTTCAGACGGAGCACTACTGAAGGCCTTGGTGTGAATGCACGTTTTGCCACTGATGAAAAATGATCTCAATGAAGTCGAGTAGGTAGTGGTTTAAAGTGATACGTATTAAGCTGTTTCCTGGTCTGTGTTATAATGTTGTTTTCTCATCACAAACAGACCTGGAGTTGTGTTTTGTGTCTTTAACCCATGTTTAACACGCAAACCCTGCATATTTAGGTATAAGTTAAGGTATAAGTTCCACCTTGTGATGTCATGTGGCAATCCAAGAAGTGCTCCACTGTGTTTTAAAAGTCCATACACTTTTCCTATTCATTTGGATGATTTCAACTTAAAAACTACCACTACATAACAGCATTTTGAGCTTTAGACACGCAGACAGACTAATAATAAAGGATAACGAATGAAACAAAACACAACTCGGGGCATGTTTTGGATGAGGTAACATTTTATAACATGGCTTAAAGCTCACAAGAGTTAATTTTGTTTAATATAAGCCCTTTAAATGTTTTTATACTGAAAACACTCCAACAGCTTGTAGACACAGATTATAATTGGACCTCAAACTGAAAAAGACATGAATATTTAAGACCATGTTGGCATCTGACCACATGTAATAGGAGTAATATCAAAGCCCGGTTTGAAAACATCTTTCTGGGTCGCAGACAGTGCGGTAGCGTTGGAAAATCAGCAGAAAAGCTAAAGGCTACGTCATTAATATGTAAACGTTTTGATATGAGATCGAAAAACATTCCCACGCTACAGTTCTTTGATCGAAAAACTTAGAGGGCTTGTACCTGGCTTGTATTTATTCTAGCTAAAATAATAATAATAATAATACTTTGCTAAAATCCACTATTCGTGAATGACACTGAATCATATTACAGATAATTTTATCCAATCAGAGACACTGTTGGACATGAACCAGTTGGAAACCATCGCCTGTGACTGTTCCAGGGAGTTGTTTCTCTGTCATGGTTCAACATCTGAGTGAGAAAAGGGAATAGGCGGGGTAACGGTGCATTCTGAAACATCATTTTTAGTCATTTATTTATCAACTTTAAAAATAGAGCTGCCAAACTAAAGCAAATATATAAAATACAGCTTTATTTTTACTGTCAAAACTCAAGTTTGGAATGAAAAGAGGTTCTAAAGACAAATGTACAGTGTTGGGAAGGTGACTTTTAAAATGTATTCCCCTACAGATTACAGATTACATACACCAAAATGTAGTTTGTAACGGAATCCATTAAATTACTTAAAGTGAGTAATGTAATCTGAATACTTTGGATTACTTGGTTTACTGTAGAGCAGTAAAGATGAGGAAATGTTAAAATAAGATGTTTTGTTTTGTCTGCTAAAAGAAAATCAAAAATCCCAGACTTTACTGAACCAAATTAAAAATATTATTGATAGAAGAGGAAACACGGTCCACGCAGCATGATTTAGTCCTGTTAAATCCTGTTTTAGACCTGGTTTAGTCCTGGTTTAGTCTTGGTTTAGACCTGGTTTAGACCTAGTTTATAGACCTGGTTTAGACCTGGTTTAGACCTGGTTTAGACCTAGTTTATAGACCTGGTTTTAGACCTGGTTTAGACCTGGTTTTAGTCCTAATTTAGTCCTGGTTTAGACCTGGTTTAGACCTGGTTTAGACCTAGTTTATAGACCTGGTTTAGACCTGGTTTAGACCTGGTTTAACCTGTTTTAGACCTGGTTTAGACCTGGTTTAGACCTGGTTTAGACCTGGTTTAGACCTGGTTTACCTGTTTATAGACCTGGTTTAGACCTGGTTTAGTCCTGGTTTAGACCTAGTTTACAGACCTGGTTTAGACCTGGTTTAGACCTGGTTTAGACCTTTTAGACCTGGTTTAGACCCGGTTTAGACCTGGTTTAGACCTGGTTTAGACCTGGTTTAGACCTGGTTTAGACCTAGTTTATAGACCTGGTTTAGACCTGGTTTAGTCCTGGTTTAGACCTAGTTTACAGACCTGGTTTAGACCTGGTTTTAGACCTGGTTTAGACCCGGTTTTAGACCTGGTTTAGACCTGGTTTTAGACCTGGTTTAGTGTCCGGCAATGAGTGGAATTACCGGGGGAAAAAAAAAACAAAAAAAACAAAACAGATATAGCCCGAAATGTGAAAACAGGAAAATCCTGCCGTGTAATCCATTTATTCCAACAAAGTAACTGTAATCCAATTACCACTCACTTAAAACAGTAACTGTAACTGAATAAAGTTACTCATAATTTGTACTCTGATTACGTAACTCCGGTACATGTAATCTGTTACTCCCCAACACTGCATATGTAGAAGTCTTTATTCAAAATTAGCTTTGTCAAAAGTGTTGAAAATTTGAGTACTAATCCAGGAGTCATCAAACTAAGGCCCGTGGGCTGACTCCGGCCCTCCACATCCCTTTGACCGGCCCCCCAGCCCCTCCGCCCCCACCACTTGAACTGGCCCTATGAGGCAATCCTCAAAAGTTCATGGCCTATTTTTATTTATTTATTAGTTTTTTATTAAAATTAGTTTTTGGCAAATAATAACACGTCTGCATTTGTATTTTGTAGATTTTTTTCTGTTAAAAATTATGACATGTATGTGAAGTATTTATATTTAAATAATTATAAGAAGTTTTTACATTTGCCGCAGAATTTTCATCACCTGACACACTCGAGATCAAACAGTGACAAGTCGATGCACACGCAGAGTTATGTAGAGCAGCTAAGGACAGAAAAATGACTCGTGTTAAAGTACAAAAAGTGACAGAGAAAGCGAGTTTTTTTTAAAGAACAAGAAGTTAAAGTATATAAGAAGACATAATGAACATCATTGACTCGATTATTTTTTTGTTCAGTGTCAGGACTGTGCAGTTTGTCTGATATGTAAACAAAGCCTGGAGGATTTCAAAGAATATAATCTGCGTCGTCACTATGAAACCGGCCACAAAGAGTGTGCAAGCCTTGTGAGGGCAAACAAGAGAAGATAAAATTCAGTGAATGAAAGGCGAACTGGCTGCTCAACAACATATATTCCCTCATCAACGACCTGACCCCGGCCCCCATCACAGTCAGGAGCGATAATGTGGCCCCCAGAGAAAAAAAGTTTGGTGACCCCTGTACTAATAGATACTAAAATTAGTGTATCAAACTAGATACTCATTTGAGCCAGAATCAGTACTGAAAAAATTCACATTTAAAAGACAGAAATGAAGCTTTCCTGAACAGCTTTAGAACAGGAGTCTCTAACCTGTATCTCGGGAGCTACCAGCAGCTTTCCACCCCCTTCAACATAGCTCACCAAAGGATTTTTAAATTTGATGTATTTAGTAATATTTGATTAATTACGACTGTAAATATATCATTTAACTATAACTGTTTAACTGTAACTTGGTGCACCGATAAATAGACAGTAGTTTATGTTTTAAAGGCATCTAATTGTTCGTCATCTAAGGTTTGCTGTGGCTCTTATATTTACTCAGTTTCTTTGCAACTGCTGAAATTGGTCAACCAGGCTGGCGTCACCTAGTGCCTCCACTCACTTTCATTTCTCTCCAGCGACTAGGTCAGGAATCAGAATACACTACACGATTTGCAGGAACCCCGGAAGTTGTAGACCGCACACCGGCCAATCAGCGAAGAGCTGTGAAGCCATGACGTCAAACTCAAGCATCTGTCTGGGTCCCTTTTATGGAACAGCACAACAGTGAACAAAGCGGTCGAGATGGATGTAGACGAAGACGGACATTCTGTGTTGGCAAAGATTCCTTAGATTGAGGATTTAAAGCCGGAATAAAGAGAATGTTTGGTGAATTTAATCAAGGAGAAAGACGTTATTGCTCTTCTTCCTACGGGATTTGCAGCTTTATGTACATCACGACCAAACAGCAGCGATTGGTTAAATAAAAAAAGTACCCGCCTACTGTCGAGTGAACAAATCCTAATGCTGCGAGGTCAGACGGTTTCTACAAAGTGACACCGGCTGATGAATCAGGTTAGAAATTGATAGCTCTCTGGCATTTTTGTTTCGTAGAGGTAATTCACTGGAGAAAAAAGGTTGGAGACCCCTGCTTTAGAATGATCTTGAGCTGTATCAGAACAAGTATAAAGGGCCATTCACACCAAAGCGTAAAAAAACGCCTTGACGCCTCTATTTGGAGCCTTTGCATTTGAGTTTAGACGCCCCCGACGCGCATCTTTGACGCCGTGGACGAACGGGACAAAAATACTTGACGCGCGTCCGTTGCCCTGGAAACAAGAGCCCGGTCCCGCTCTTTTCCCGAAACAATGTCAGACCAGACTGAGAGAGTGTTTTTATGACATAAAACATCAGCGGAGGAGATCGGGTCGACGACTGGGGCGTATATATATTTATACTCCGCTAATGACACTGGATCAGTCCCGGTCTAGTCCTGGTCTAATACCGGTCTGGTCTAGTCCTGGTCTAATCACGGTCTAGTCCTGGTCTAATCACGGTCTAGTCCCGGTCTAGTCCTGGTCTAATCACGGTCTAGTCCCGGTCTAGTCCTTGTTTAGTCTCGGTCTAGTCTCGGTCTAGTCCTGGTTTGGTCCTGGTCCGGTCCTGGTCCTGGTGTATTCGTCTCCGTTCGTTCTCGATCGTTCGCTCTGCTGGATACGCCGAAAACGCGCGCGCAACGCCAAAAACGCGCAGGACGCTCTAGTCGCGCGTCCACATAGACTTTACATAGAAAGTGGACGCTTTGACGCTTTGGTCTGAACGGGCCTTAAGAGTAAATCGACTAGTAAACGCCCATGGACCACTGAGAGATTACACAGATATAAGACCACATTGTTATATAAAAGGAAGTACTGTTATTTAACGTTGAAAGTGTCATTCTATTGTCTAAATAAAGAGTGTTTTTTTGTTATTATGGTATCAAAATTGGTACTGAGTCTATTCCTTAGTATCGAAATTTGAATTATTAGTATCGTGATAAAACTATTCCCACTGAAATCCGAATGAGTGACGCACCTGTATGACGAGGCTCTTCCCCGACTGGCTGTGGGCGAAGGACGGGGCGTTGTCGTTCTCGTCCAGGACGGTGATGAAGGCCGTCCCGGTGGCGCTGCGGGCCGGGGAGCCTCCGTCTTGGACCACGACCAGCACCTGGTAACTGGACTGCTGCTCCCGGTCCAGACTGGTCCTGGTGCTCACCTCCCCTGCGGAAAAGAAGGCGTTAAAGTGCGTATATTAGTAGAATAAAACCTGTTGTAAATATAAATGATAGTTTTACACCAACCAAGAAGCAATTTGTGAAGAAAAGTGGAAAGATATGTAAAAATAGCGCACTATTAAAATATAAAGTGAGATAGAAAGCTAATGTGGGCGCTACAAATTGAAATTATAGGAAGAGCTGTATTCATTGGCTACATTTCACTAATAACATTGGATTTAATCATGATAATTGCGTTTTTCAGAGCCCAAGTGCCTGTAACTGCTTTAGAAATCAGCTCATAAATGCCCGCGAGACTGTTAACGAATAAAGCCGGTTACATCATTTAGAGACAGTTATCTAAAGACGTGTGAATAAAAAGTGAATACATTTTTGTTCGTAATAAAGCAGAGGCGGTGGGTGTTTGTCTTTTTATTTAATGGTATCACAGTATGACATTGAGCAGCTCCACATTACATTTATTCCATTACAGTAGCTCGAAAAATACCCAGAAAAACAGGGATTTTGGCTGTGAGCGGCGTCGCCTCTCCACAGATCTGACCTGTAACTTGTTCAGGTTTTGTCTCCATGAAGATAGAAAGGTTTAATGCCATACTGTGAAACATTCCATATGAAGAAATAACATCTTCATTGAGAAAAGCATCTGACAGAACCTCCACCAGAAAAGTTATACAATTTATTATTATAATTTTTTTTTTTTTTTTTCCAGGCTTAAAGGTTGTATGGAGGATTTTTTTTTTGTTTTTTTTTGTTTCAATTTGTCAATGAAAGTTTAAAATACCATTACAGAGATGCAGCAGCCTTGTAATTATGATGACCAAAAAAAAAAAAAGAAAAAAAAGAATGAAAATCTATCAACTGTGGACATAGTGAGGGAAGATAAACATCAGCCAATAGAAAACAAGGCTGCCTCATTTTCTATTGGCTGTTAGGTTGTCAATCAAACTCCCTTCGTTTCTAGTGTAACTGACTCGCCGGCGCGCTGGGATTACGTGGTTTATGCGGCGGTTCTTAGGAGGTTTTTTAAACTGTAGCTTCCTCGCAGTTCGCACAAAGTTTGTCGCGGCGGCGGACGAGAATCCAGGACCGGTTCACCGCAAAAGAAAGTCCGTTTTTGAGGTCGCCGAAAGAAGAAGACGGGGAAAAGGAGCGAAGCCAAACTGAGGTGATTCTTGGAGAGTCCTTCCAGCGATGGAAGCGAATGAAGCAGACGAAGGGTCTACAAACTGACGCGTCGGTCGCTAAATTATTTCTCAACAGTAACTCTGAACGCGCACTGGCTGTAAACAAACGTGATTTCTAGAGTAAAGAAGCGGGAGGAGATGTTTCTACTGAGGCTGTGCAGGAGGAAGGTCGTGTCACACATGCACAACATTTGAAAAAAAGGACTGTTGCTGTATTTCTGTTTCCTTAAAAAAAATCTCTACACAACCTTTAACTTGTGATAGGTTAATCCACCTGTCACTTACTCAGAAAATAACAGGAACTGGCCAATAGGAAAAGTAGTTTGGAAAAGGTGTCTGTTTTTAATCATCGAGCTGCAGTCAGTGGTGGACAGTGTTGGGCAAGTTACTTCAAAACTGTAATGCATTTACTATTTTTCAGAGGTGGGACCAAATCTCATGTCAAGTCTCAACTCTTTGACCTCAAGTCTGAGTCAAGTCCCAAGTCAAATACAGGCAAGTCCAAATCGAGTCTCGAGTCACTGGCCCATTTGTCCATCGCTGCTGATCTCGTAGTGATTTTCGGGAATTTGTATGAAGAAAAAACAAGAAAACACTACTTCAATCCAGGTTAAAATGCACTGTAATGTTACTGACATTTGTACTGAGTAAAATATTGGTGATGGAACATAACAAAGTAAAAGTAATAAAATACTGTACTAAAAACAATTAGGTTTCTGTACTAAAGAACATTTTACACTGGAAGCTTTTACTTTTCATCAACTACATTTTTGAACTGGAGTGAATTATAATTAGACGGCAGAAAAGGCAGAGTGTTTATTTTAAAAAGTTCACAATTTGAGCAAATGAAAATATACACATAAAAACTAATAGAAACAAACATTGATTCAATTGTTTCTGTTGAACTAAATCCAGTGCTCTCTAAAATTACTACATTTGAAGCTTCATTACATCTCAAAAACTGCACAATAAACTTTTACTTTTTACTCTTTAAGTACATTTTTAAACAGATCATTTTTATAGTTTTATATCTAGTAATTTAAAATGTAAAACATTACACAACTACTGCAGCAGTTTAAGTTACTCTAACAAAAATAACTGTGAAGATGCCAAACTTTTGCACCGTATTTGGACCGAACCAGGACTAAACCTGAACTGAACCAGGACTAAACCTGAACTGAACCAGGGCTAAACTAGGTCTAAACCGGGACTAAACCTGGACTAAACCAGGACTAAACTAGAGCTGAACCAGGACTAAATCAGGTCTAAACCAGGACTAAACCAGGACAAAATCAGGACTAAACGGGGTCTAAACCGGGACTAAACCAGGACTAAACCAGGACTAAATCAGAACTAAATCAGGACTAAACGAGGTCTAAACCGGGACTAAACGAGGTCTAAACCGGGACAAAACGGGGTCTAAACCGGGACTAAATCAGGACTAAATCAGGACTAAACGAGGTCTAAACTGGGACTAAACCAGGACTAAACCAGGACTAAACCAGGACTAAACCAGGTCTAAACCAGGTCTAAACCAGAAATGATCCAGGACTAAATCAGGACTAATTACTAATACTACTTTTGCTTCAATATATATACTTTTATTTACAAAATTGAGTACTTCTTCTACCCCCTGATTAAAGCTGAACTGCGTAGCTTTTTGTGTGGAAGTTCAGCTTGGCCAGGTGTCGTTCGTCTCCATGGAGATAAATAAATAAATTAATAAACGAATTAAAGCCACGCAGTGAAACATTCCATCCGAGCGGACTCATATCACACTGTTATTTCCACAGCAGAAATCATGAATTATCTGTTATCATGTCAGTAATCTGTAACCATAGCGACGGCATATCGTAAATTAAATCCATCTTCACTGTGGAACATGACAGCGGCAGACTTTGATCTCGGCTCTCGCGCGCGCGGAGCAGATGTCCCGGCGCACGCTCGCTGTCGCACACAATCGCTCGCCAAACGGATACCGGGGCGTCGACCAATCACAGCGCGGCCCGGAGCGTGACAGGCCCCGCCCACCGCCTCGAATCTCAGCGGGCCAATTAGAGCGCGGCGGGATGCTGAGTTCACCCGTCATCGACTTTTTGTTAATTTATGAGCTGCTCTGTTTAACGAGATTTACAGATTGGATAAAAAGTAAACTGGCAACACGGGGTAAGACTCACTTTTACTTTTACTTGAGTAACTTTTAGACAAAATTGTACTTTTTTGTTTTCAGACGCCAGAGTTTTACACCTACTCGAGTAGAGACTGAACCAGGACTAAACCAGGACTAAACTAGGGCTAAACTAGGACTAAACCAGGACTAAACCGGGTCTAATCCAGGACTGAACTTGGTCTAAACCAGGACTAAACCAGAACTGAACCAGGATTAAACCAGGTCTAAACTATAACTGAACTAGGACTGAATTGAGGATTAAACCAGAGCTGAACCAGGACTAAACCAGGTCTAAACCAGGACTAAACCAGGACTAAACCAGGAACTAAACCAGGACTAAACCAGGACTAAACCAGGTCTAAACCAGAACTGAAACCAGGACTAAACCAGGTCTAAACCAGGACTGAACCAAGGACTAAACCAGGACTAAACTAGGACTAAACCAGGTCTAAACCACGACTAAACCAGGTCTAAACCAGGACTGAACCAAGGACTAAACCAGGACTAAACTAGGTCTAAACCAGGACTGAACAAGGACTAAACCAGGACTAAACTAGGACTAAACCAGAACTGAACCAGGACTAAACTAGGTCTAAACCAGGACTGAACCAGGACTAAACCAGGTCTAAACTAGGACTAAACCAGGACTGAACCAGGACTAAACTAGGACTAAAACCAGAACTGAACCAGGACTAAACCAGGTCTAAACCACAACTGACCCAGATCTAAACCAGGACTAAACAAGCACTAAACCAGGATTAATCTTGGGTAGAACTTGGAATCTAGGATCGCCCCTGAGAGAACCCCGAGTCCATAGAGCAGAGCGTCTGCAAGGCGCGATCGGGGCGTCAGCTGCAGTTCGCCCTGTGGAGCGTGGAGTTCTGCGTCGGTCCCGCGGTCACCTGACGGTCAACACGGGCGCATCTATGGCATTTCACCGCTGCTGATATGTAATTTTAGTGAAATTGTATGAAGAAAAACCCACCACTTCAATCCAGGTAAAAAAAAACTTAAAAAAAACCATTGTGACGCGTGTTACTGACATTTGTACTGAGTAAAATATTACTTTTCTTTCCCCTGTAATGCCGTAACATTACTGCATTACAGCAAAAAACAACACATTACAGTAATTTGTTACTTTTACTCCCAACACTGGCACTGATCCAGCTTTTCAGTACCGATATCGATACTTTGGCTTAAGTACCTGCCAGTACCAGTGAAGGGATGGAAAATGAGTTATTTCCTCAAAACAGAGTTAACTTTACACTACACTAGAGCTCCAGTCGTGTTATGTAACTTTTATTTATCAACTGACTACTGAAGAACGTCATACGAATAAAAATGTAAACATTATGAGACATTTAAGGCCAAAATCAGCCTGTAAATTGTCTAATTACATCCAATTAAAAGCCCAACCAAGATATCGACTTAACTTGCTGTGATGGAAATTTATGTTGTGGAAACATTTCTCTCCATCTGTCTTTGTGTAAATGAATGTTAACATGTGTAAAGGCTCAGCAGACACAACTGTCTCCACCCTCTGGAAACTCTGTGTTGTCCTCAAATGTATGTTAAGTTGATTAGCACCAGTCTGTGAAACAAAAGTCGCTCTGCTTTGATATGTAACTTGTA